CCATGGACTGAACATGTGAGCAATGACAAAGTTTTAGAGAAAATGGTAGCAAAAAGGACACTTAAACTTGACATTATGAAGAGATAGTTGAAATTTCTAGAGCACAGAAATAAAGAGGACTTGGAAAACTTGATATTCACAAGAGAGATTGAAGACAAGAGGGGTAGAGCAAAACAATGCATAACCTAACTAATGAACTTGAGTTAATGGATGGTGGAACAAGATTTAGAAGAGATAACAAAAAGAAAAAATTTATTAAAATCTACAAAAGACAGGAAATTGTGGAGAATCATAATTGCCAGTCTTCTGAAGGGACACAGCACATTGAAGAATAGCAAATATGTAGTCTTGAAGACTTGAAATAACTTGGTTAAATCATCTTTGTATGATGTTATTGCTACGTTTATCAGTTAATAGCTAAAATTCAATTACAGTATATTGCAATGGCTGAAAAGATGGATGGTATCATTTTATGATTACATTACTATATGTGAGAAATACAAAAATTATATTGAACTGTTTTCTGTAAATAGTAAAATTGAAAAAAATATTTTTGATAAAATAAGAAGTCATTAACCTTTTTTAGATCCATGTTTTATTTTTAGGAGTTACATTTAATTTTGGTTATGGAAACAATGACAGAACAACAAAATATTGACTGACTTTAAGTGCAAGTTTTTCTTGCATGTGGCTTTGACATAAATCAAGTTTTTAAAAGAAAATCTACCTTTTTGTTTATACATGTTTCTAGATTAAATTCTGGTGCAAATTCCTTGAGTTTTTTTCTCTTTGATTTCTGTTAAGTTTAGTTTTCTATTTATTCAAGGTGATATCCAAAAGTTACCCAACATTTTTTTTTTTTTTTGCATATTTCTGTGTGGAGTGAGTAACCATGGTCAATTGCAAAATATGTACAGGACTTTCCAATAAGCAGAATTGACAAAGTTTGTAATAACAAGAAAAAGAGCAGAGCAAAAAAATAATACAAAACAACAGTAATATGACAAAAAGTTCATAAGCTAAGAATTGGGGTTGACACAGAAGAGCAAGTTTGGACAAACAAATGTAGCATTCTGACTTCAAGACAAGACAGACTGGGACTGAGTCAGATGAAACCAAGAACCTGGTTATTTTATTGGCTAGGAAAAAATCCCAGCATGCATTTATGTGTTTCTGCCTAAAACTTGGGGAGGGGAAAGTATTTTTGCAGCCATTCCCAATATGATTGGTAGGTCCCCTGTGAATATGTGGTATTGTGGTATGTGGTGGATTGAATGGTGATGGATAAATTCTTGTGGTGAATGAGCAAATTGTAATGAACAATATAGGTTGTGAATCTGATTGCCTATGTCTAAGATAGTTGATGTTGACCATCTCTACCCCCCTTTCAGCCTTGTGCCAAAATTGTTTATAATTATAAGTAATAAATAATAATTCCCAGTATGATTGGAGCCAGCACTATGTAATAGTTTAAAATATTTCCGTATAAAAAATTCAAATTCTAAAGAATATATAGATCATTTTCATATTTCTAAATAAAAAGATAAAATCTGATGAACATACATTTTAGCATATTTCTACATAAGATATAGCAAAATCTGAAGTAAATACATATTTCTATTTTAAAAATAGCAAAATCAGAGGAAAATGCAACTTTTTTTGCATATTTCTATGTAATGGTTTAAAATCTAAAAGAAATATATTACTGATTCCAATATTTCTATATAAAAAAGTCAAAATCGGAAGAAAATACAACATTTTGTCTTATTTCTGTATATGATGTCAAAATCTGAAGAAAATATTGCTGATTGTCATATTTCTATGTAAAAATGGCAAAATCTGAGGAAAATGTCTCATTTTTGCATATTTCTGTATAAAATATAAAAATCTGAAGAAAATATAGCTGGTAGGGGAGTTATAACTCTGTGTAAATACTTATAATTCTCCTAACATTTATATATACAAAAATACTCCTAAAAATGAGAATCGGCAAGACATGGAAACAATGAAATGAGTATTATTTATTATCTTATTGTTATGTAGTGTTGAAGACACAAGAGACAGTAATACTGAGTGAAATTGTGAGTTTGGGGTCAAATTTAGATTCAGAATCCGACAGAATGATAAAATGAAGAATGAGTAAAATGTATACAGTCTTTCTCCTATGTTTTTTTATAGATGTGCGTAATTAGTGTACAGATAATTTAGTTGAAAAATACAAGAAATGTCTGGTATTTTCTTCATTTTATATATATATATATATTCTTTATGGACACAACAAGCTGATTTCTATATTTCTATGTAAAAATGACAACATTTGAAAAAAATGGTAAAGTTACAAAAAGTTAGTTACATTACATTTGAAAAAAAACTGGTAAAGTTACAAAGGCTCTCAAAAATTCTTCAACAGGCTTTTAGCGAACATACTTTGTTGAACACGGATTTGTCAGTAGTGTTATACTCTACTTTAAATACGATTGCCTTCTGATTCACTCTACATCAAAACCTGTCAACCAGATGTAAAGGTTATTATAGCAAGATTAAGAATAAAAAAAGTCACTCTCTGCAAATAGGCTCTGAGCATTTGGCTCACAACCCCCAATCAAATAAAATTTAAACATTGGTTAAATTCTGAGTCATATATCTACCTTAGGTGTTTAAAATGTCCCACAGTAATCCTTGGAGATTTTGGCCAACTGTCCTAATCTAAGGTTAAGGCAACAGCTTTCCTTTACCATGAGCTTTAAAGTGAGTCCAGTACACAACCTCACATCCATCTTCCAAGATCTAGTCCACAAGTGTCACCTTCTTCATCCATATATGACATTCTACCCTTGCTTTGCTATATACATTGACAATACATTTAATTTTGCTTTAACATGTCTTGTCTGCTTTTCCTTTTGCCTTATTTTCAATACATTGTTTATTTGTTACTCTTGCAATCATCTACAGTGACATACATTTCAAAGCTGTTTGAGTTTTGGTTCAATCTGTCTAATCTCTCACAGCACATGATTAGAATATTCGAGTCTATCCAGAAGTCCTAGTCTGGGAATTTTTCTGATATCATCTTGTATATGGTCATTTAATACCATACATGGAAAAGAAATAGAAAATAAAAATATTTTACCATGTTCACAGGATAATAGAACAAATCAAGATAGAAATTTGTTTTTAGAATACAACTCTAAATTGTTCCTATAACTTTTTGTTCCTATAATTAAAATGGTGGATTTGTTATTGTTCACTGAAGTATGTGTTGTGCAATTTTAAATTTAAGATCTAGATGGTCATTAAAAAAAAACAAACTCTTAGCTTCTTTTAATGATTTGTTCTCATAAATTTGTTTACAAAATTTCATGAAAAGTGACCTTTTGTCTTGCAGGTATACCATATATAGATATTGAATAAAACTACAGTAACTGCAATAAAATTGTTAATTGGTGTCTTGTAATGAATGCTTGGTTTGAGTTACTCATTAACTATTACAAAAGAATTCTGTAAAATATTCACCATGTGATTTAATATTATTGACTATATCTAAATAGAGATTCTTGGGAATTTTTATAATGATTATAAGCAAATATATTAAGTTTGGAGATTTCATTTTGGGGAAAAAAATTTTTTCTTTACTTTTCCTTCTAAAATTTTTTCAGAATTCATATAAAATGTTATGAATGGTTTCATTCCACAAAGTATTGTATTTCTGTCAAGGTAATGTTTATGAAATCATTAAAGGATGATATATAGATTTGATTTTTGTTCTCCTCTTTTCATATATTTGATTATAGTGTCTTTTTTTTTTTTTTTTTTTTTTTTTTTTAATAATTTTTGAGATTCAAAGAGTTAATTATATTAAAGAAATCTTCAAATGTAAGTGATTTATATTAAGTGTTTAGTACTCTCATTTCAGCATCTGAGGTGTTGTTTAAACCCCTTTTTATTTCAGGTCAAGCTCCTTGAATATCTCTCAAAATTTGGTTTGATATGTTGTCTGCAGTTTTCAAAATGATGCCTGGGTCCCCAGGGTCCAGCAAAACAAAACAAAAAAAGGTGAGAGGCTTACAAGAGGCTCATAAAAAATAGTTGATTTTTCATTTCCACAAGACATGATAAGCCAATGCAGTGTTTGTCCTCAAGCCTCTACACTAATTCATGTGTAAAAACAATTCTAGACTCTCACATACAAATTTCTTAGATATGTTGAACATTTTCAGGTGGTGATATTGAATTCATACTGCTTTCTTGTAAAATGTTTAAAAAGAACTCAATTGCTTTGATTAGTTAAAACTTTTTACAAAAAAATGCTTTTGTTGTAAAAGTGGATTTGTTATTGTGCAAGATGCCTATGTGATTTGAAGTTTGGCTTTTGTGTGTACATTCTGATTATATAAAAAAAATCTGATACATATTGTGATGTGACATGCAGCAAAAAGCATATACACACATGTATATTCACTGTTTGTGTCATATTCTTTTAAAAAAATGTGAATCTATATATGATGTATATATTTATCTATTGTATGCATGTATATATTGGTAATTTAGATGACACAAAAATATGTATTAATGTTTGCATGCATTCACTGTATAAAGTAAATGGTTCTCCAATCTTGACCATTTTATATCTTAGTATGTATTGAATAAAATATTTGTAGTTGTGTATTTAGTAATAATGAGTTGATTTTAATTCTAGTTACATTATTTAATGCAAGAGTATAGTCTTTCGTTTAGCATGTGAATCATTTTAGTAATTTGTCATAAGGCTAGATATTTTGTTAATTGTTTTAATTTTTTGTTGGTTTTGTATATATGCCATGTTGTTTTTATTACAGTATATTTTGTACCACACTTGTGAGAATTTGCTATAGTCTGCTCAAAATTAGATTAACTTTTGGTAGGTGGTTTGATATGAGTTATTAATTTATGGTACTGATTTATAATTCTAGCTAACTAACTCAGAATGGCGTTGGCATAAACTGAGAGAAATGGTTCTACAAATGAAAGAGAAAGACATTGATGCACTTCTAAAAGATATTCCAAATTCCAAATCTGAAGAAGTCAAAGACAAATACATATTACAAGTAAGTTCATTTAAACTATTAATTACAGGGATATGAAATATTAGATTTTAAATTATGAAATAAGGAAATATTGTTATCTGTTCATCTCTTCAGACTATTCATCTTTTGGTTTTTATACAAAAGTTCACTCAATACAAGTATAATCAAAGTATAGGGTTACTGTTAAAAGGATTATGACAAATGAGGTATGTAATATTAATTAAATAGGTAGTTATAGTCACAATGTTTTGGCAGTTGTACCATCTGGCCTTCTTCAGGTGTCTTTTGTAAACTGTAATCTTCTGGGAATTTTTCTAGCTGGTGACCTTAAATAGCTAGCCCATCTTTGCTACATTGAAAACAAACCTTTCTTCACCATATGATTAAGAGTCAACTATTACATTTCAATACATACATACATATATATTTACTTCCTCCCAGAACCTTTCTTTTTCTCTTTATCTCTTGTATGCCGCAGGATAAGGTAATGTTTCAGTTCAAGTGTAAACTTGAACTTCTGAAACATTCACTTTATCCTTCTGTATTATTATATTGTGTTATATAAAAATTTATTTTATATATTTCAACATTCTGCATTTTCTTTTAATCATTACACAAGGCTAATATAAACCCAAACTAAATATCACATACATATATATATATATATATCATAACTGATAACCTTCTAATCCCTATGCACCAATAGTACAACCTTTCTATATATGTTTGTGATATTTAACTAAAGTTAATAGTAAAATCATTTCTGTTCATGAAAATAGTGAATAGTCCAACCAAGGTTATGAAATACTTGAATAATAGTCATCATAAAATGCAGACACAAAAACAAATTTTTGCTATCTTACTTAAAAATCAAAAACTGAAAACGAACAAAAATAAATGACAATAAATAAACAAAGCAAGTAAAAAAAATTAATCCAAACAAATAAATAAGTAAATAAACCAACACATATACACAGATAAACATAAGAAAAGACAGTAATAACAACCAACAATAAAATAGTTAACTTTTTTATTTATTATTAATTAATAACACTATAAATAGCCAAAAAAACTGCATTCGAATCCAGTATTTTTCCCACTCCATAGCCCCCAGAATAATTTGACATAAGGACTTTTACAACAAAGTATGGTTCAATTACCCTTTTGAAAGAAAGCACATTTCTCATTAACTCCTTTTGAAGCCCATATCCACTAAACTTATTTTCATATTTCTAAGGAATTAATGGATTTTTAAGTATAATCATAATCCGGCTTTATTTCTTTATAGTGTAGACACAGAAATCAACAGTGCAAGATGACTGGCAGTTTCATGACTTAATATGGGAAACAGCCAGTTACCACGTAGTGTTGTTTTTTATTTATATCTACAAATGCTCTCTCTTAAATATTGAACACTCTTTCCTTGTAAATATATAAAATTTTAAATTTTAAACATATACTGTGAAAATCTACTATTTTGTAGTATAGCTTCTGTTATGTTTTAAAAATTTATTTGATGTGATTTTTCTATTGTTATGGTTGAACATAGGTGTAACAGTTTCTTACTGAAACTACAGCCTGGGCAGGCAAGTAAGGTACTTATGGGAGTGAATTTTTTCCCCTAAGTGCCAGTAAGTATTTCTTTTTTTTATTATTTTGTCAAGATAGCTAGTGATAGGGTGAAATGATTTCATGTCTTTCACAAGATTATTTGTTCTAAGTGAGCATAAGGAGCCCAAATTTAAACATATTTTTCACTACAATACCTCAAAATGTTTGTATTTGATGTATACTTATAACTTGGGTATCCATTTTGAAACAAACTCTGAGGTGCATAGAATAAAAATACATTGGATTATTACTGCAATGTTTTCTTAATACAAAATAAATCACTTCAATATATCTAACATTTTGTTTTTATTTCATGTTGGTTTAAAGGAAGAAGTTCGGCAACTGCAAGAGGCACTAACCAATAGTACAAAAAAAATTACCCATTTGCAAAAGGCATTGGAATCTAAGGTTGGTTTATTTTATATATTTATTATATTGAGCTTATTAGGACTTTAAAAACAGATATTTTAAAAGTATATATAAATATATATAAAAATATATAAAATAAAGGGGAGGAAGAAGAAAAAAAAAAAAAATTGAATCATCATTAAGTGGTGGATTGGAAAATATATAAAACAGTATATATCACAGAAAATTTACATTTAAACTGAGCAGCCATTCCTTTTGTTTACAGAGGGAAGACAGTTCAGACTTAATATAAATACCTAAGTAGTCTTCCCTTTGTAAGCAAAAGAAATGGCTGCTGTGTTTAAATTTGTTTGTGATTTCTACTGCTGATTTACTGGTAGTATTTTTCCTCCCCTTTTTTTAGTTGTGCACATATTTGTGTTTTTGTCCTCAACTGGCTCTGATGAGTGATAACTGGTTAGTCCTTTTTTTTGTTTGTTCTTTGTTGTTATAGTTTTCAATTCTCCTCTTTACATTGAGTAATTTCTTTTCTTATCCTTGATCTTCATCCCTCTTTTGTTTTATATATTTTTGTATATATTTATATATACTTTTAAAATGTCTGTTTTGAAAGCCTTAATAAGATTTTATATCCACCATAAATTATTTATGTTAAGATTATCTAATTCAATGGTTGCCAAATTGACAGAGGAGTCATAGAATGTGTTTTTCTGTTTGTAACTCTGTCATATTATCATCACCATTGTTCAGAATAATTGTTCATATAAATCATAAAATAACAAAGGACAAACCAATTGTAAATTTATTCAAAATTCTCTTTAACTGAATCGCTTTAATAATTTTCTGAGGTTACATTATTGCAATATTTTTCTCTATGTGTCATGGCTCCCCACAACTTCCTGTATTTTGTTGCTTTTAATAATTTTTTTCTCTTTTATGATCCCTCTTTGCCCTTATTATATTTGTTCGATGAGACACAGTGGAGTAATGGATGGCGGCTCGAATTGAAGAATCAGAGAGTTTGAATTCCAGTTGAATCCATTACATTCACATGTGCTAATACCCTTGGGAAAGGTATGAATCCTTTTCTTCTCCCCCCAGCTATAGGTAAATAGCAGGACCTGACTGGGTTCTATAGCCTTGGATAGCAACTAGTCTACCACAGAAAGAAATGGCAACCTAATGCGGAAAAAATCTGCCTCGTCAGTCATGTATCAAAAAATACATGATTGCCTAAGCATGTATCCTGCATGGCACATAACTGACTGATTCATTTGCTTCTCTTTCTCTTGCTTTCAATATGCCATGTGAATGTGGAATGACTTCTCAATTACTATTGTTCCCAGGTCCACCCTGACCCAGAGTGGTAGCATCTGTTAGGGTCCCAGCTATGGACAAATAGTGAACCTCCAAACAAAAACCAAATACTATGAAAGTATAAAAATACATTTTTATAGCAAAAATACCAACAATACATTTTTATATATATAAAAAAAAGTGACCAACAATATACTTTATAGTAAAATGACCAATAATACATTTTATCTGTAATTGAAGGCATACAATTACATTCAAAATATACTTAGTTGAAACCATGAAATTGTGTTCAAATTATTTAGATTTTGGCATTTAAACAACCCATTGTGATTGATATGCCACTAAACAAAATCAACCAATCAATTCATTGTCTGTATCCAAAATGTCTCTTTCTCTTTGTTATGAACAGTTTCTTTCTAGTTTTTTTTTTCTACTTAAAACTACCTTATTTATCATATGCTCTGTTCATGGTATTAGCATTCATAGGTTAAAGCATATTTTGGCTGCTTCATTTACTTTCTTTTTTTAATGAATCTGTCTAGCATTTACTACCATACAGAAGATTAGATACGACAGCACTCTTTTCTTTGTGTCAAATATTTTTTGATCTTTTAATACCTTGTTCACTTTCTATAAAACATTTTTTGCTATTCCTATACACCTTTGGAATTCTGTGTCAAATTTTCTGTTATTTGTTAGCATAACTACCCAGATATTTAAATTTCTACATTTCCTTGATTTTGATGTCCCCAATGTATAACTCAAACTTTAAACTGTCTCTTTTGCTGACAATCATACATTGCATCAGCTTACAGTTAATGACTAGTCCTCCTTGCTTTCATTGATTACCTTGCCCTACAATCTTTTTAGATTTTTTTTCTGAATCTGCCATCAAGATAGTGTCATCAGGACAGTGTTTGTTATTATGATTATATCCACCAATAATAAATTCTGTTAGTAATGAGTATTTCAGTTGAGTAAATGATTGCTTTTGACAATCATATTAATCTATAAACATAGAAAAAATATAGATACAACAGATTACCTGCAGATGGATACACATATATTTTGTTAATGTGTACCAATTAATCAAATATTCCTTTGCTCCACAGTGTTCCTTAATTTTTATGAGTATTTCACCTGATGAAATGATTTTTACAGATACTGTATATTTCTGCATATAAGGCTACCTTTAGATAAGATGAGGTCAAAAAACATAGCTAATTTTCATGAATTTATCCTATATAAGATGACGGCTTATTGGTTATATAAAGATGATGTTATTCGAAATATTGCCACTTAGTGTATCCTTAGAAATTCAAAATAAATGAGATAACAAAACCAATACACGTCCCCTAAAAGGGAAACCATTGGTTTGTTTACGTTTCATCACATGATCTCTTGTGAATACTGATTCTTCTTTTTCCTCTTCTTTTTCTATATCTAAACAGTTACAAACTGTCTGGTGTACTAATGGCTATTTACTTCATTGACAATCACAAAATACAGCTAATAATGATATGATAATGTACAATAATTTTCTTTGAACACAGTCATAACTTGATGTTTAGATTTTCTCAGCTGATCTTGCATGGATACAAGTTGATTTCATTGATATGGAATTATTCTTCAAATAGGCAATTTATTATGAAGTTATGCGAGTAATATATAAAGTAGAAATGGTTTTATTACTTTTATTATCTGTTTATTTGATAATGTGAATCTTTTCATGTACATTATTGGTTATCACAGTAAGCCTACTGACAAATATCACTCAGAATTTAAAGTTTCTTTTTTAGAATTGTAGTATAAGACAACCTCCAATTTTTAAGGGTGATTTTTGGGATTTAAAAGTCATGTTATATGCAGAAATATATGGTAATTTATAACCATATCAATGGATGAATTAAATGGTACATATTGGGACAAAAATATAGGTAAAATGCTTTTAATATACTGTTTATTAAAAGAGTAATATAAACTTACATTCATTTAAAATTAGTAATAGCAAATATTACAGTTTTGAAGACTTGAATTAGTTTAATGGATTACATTGTAAATATATAAGGAAAAAATACAGGTACAATAGTTTATTTCAGATGGTTATATATATTTTGTTAGGATGTGTGACCAATTAATAAATGTTTCCTTATGCTCACCAGTGATTAATACTTACATGAATATTTCAGCTAGGTAAATTATTTTTAGATAATTCATTTATAAACATACAAAAGTATTGATTAAATTGTACATATGGTGGCGGGTGCAGGTAAAATGCTTATAATATACTGTTTAAGACACTAGGATAAACCTATATTCAGGTAAAATGTAAAAAAAACTAATAGCAAATATGCCTTTCAAAACCTAAGCAAAGTATTAAGAAACACAAAAATTTTGTTAGAAACAAAGAGTTCTGAAATGTTACATAATATCAATCCTCCTATATGGTAGAGAATGCTAGACAATCTCTTCAAAGATAAAGCGACAAAGCAACAGAAATATGATTCTACATAAGGATGCTGAGAATACCATGGGCCGAAAATGTGAGCAAGAACAATGTTCTAAAGATAATGGAAACAAAAAGGACACTTAGACTAAACATCAGGAAAAGATAATTGAAATTTCTAAAGTACTTAATGAGGAAAGAGGTCTTGGGAAATTTGATGCTCATAGGACAGATTGAAGATAAGAGGGGCAGAGGAAAACAACACATAACTAGTGGGCTTGAGCAAATAGATGGCAAAACAAGATTTAGGAGAGATAACAAAAAGACAAAATTTATTAAAATCTACAAAAGACAGGAAATTGTGGAGAACCATGATCACCAATGTCCTGAAAATATATGGCACATAGAAGAATAGCAAATATGTAGTCTTGAAGACTTGAAATAGCTTGGTTAAATCATCCTTGCATGATGCTATTGTTACTACATCAGGTAATGTTTAAATATTTATTTTATATTTCTGATACTCTCTTTAAATAGACAGCTGCCCTCCAGGAACTTGGGACAGAGCATGAAGAATTAATGAAAAAGATGGATAATCAGCATCAAAAAAATTCTGATAGTGATGGTTTGTATTAATTCCTTAATATATTTGTCCAATTTTATAGGTGCCGGTTTTTTAAATATCTTGTTGTAAAATTCCTCTAGACTAATATCTATTATTCAATTACTTTTTGGTTTCCAGCCATATCATGTTGAAACACCATGTCTCTTATAATCACTGAAGTTAAACAACATCAAGCCTGGCAAGAACACCAGAGAAAAAAAATCTTAATTTTCATATTGAGAAAAGAAATTGGTTCTGGCATCTTTCCCTTTTGTATTCTGTTGATATTAATCCATATAAAAAAAATAATTTCAGACAATTATTTTATTTAGATTTAGTTTTTAATATATGTGCTCTCCTTAACAACTTCAAAAAGAGTTGTCTGATAATTGTGGAACATCTTTTATAGAATTCATATAATAAATTATTGATGCCCTCTGTGTTTTTAGTTCACTTTCTGAATTAAATTTTACATTTAATGTAGTCTTATGGGTAAAATAATGAATCCTGCTTCTGGTCTGTATGTTCTTTTAAGTTCACTGAAATGGCTCAGAGTAATATTAGTAGTCAGTATACATTTTAGGAAGAATTTATGCTTTAAAACAATTTTTTAATATTTTAAGAGCTCTATCATTTTCCTCCAAGAACATTTTGTGAATTTATATGGAAGTTAAAACTAACTTTTCTTTCTTTCTATTACTATTTCCATCTGACATGTTCAGTTGTCCATGAAATAATGAGTCTGTTTTTTTTAAGTTCCTTTAGTTTAGCTCCTATTAATAATTGTAAACAAATGCATTAGTATTTGATATTCTTCATTTACTTAAAATGGTTAAATGCCTGAAAAGTTTCAAAGATAGAAAATAGTAAGAGAAACAATACTTTCCTTTGAAAGGGGTCTTTTTAATATTGCTGATGTATTTGGATGAAGAGTTTCTTTTGCTTTGATATTTAGTAGTTAGATGCAGCTGTGAATTTGTTGTCTCTGAAATGACTGGTAATAATTCAGGTTTGAATCCAGAGTATTCACTCTCCCTGCAGGGATAGGAATTTAGACAGGGAGTGACAATGTGACTTGAAGGTAGAAATTTTCAAGTTTCCTTCAAAAGTTTATCAATTTCTTAAGTTGGCATTGCAGTGTTCTTATGACAGCACCTTTGAAGAAAGTGATTAGCTGATGGTGATTTTATACTTCCTAGACTGCTAGCTAATAGGTCGAGAAAATTGTGATGTCAGCAAAATTTCTTTAGTAGAAGCTATGAGTCACGTTTTCAAAACCCAGGATTTACACCAAGGTAATACAATTTGAAATCAATAAAAAATATTTTTATATATGAGAGAGCTTTATTAGAAAGTATGAGAAACTAAGTTGCCCATGTTACCAAGTATGTTATCACACAATAGGAATAATAAACTAAGAAATGCTGACAAAGGAAAGAAAAAGCTTCTTATTTGAATATCACTGTGATTCACCTGGAATAGCCATATGGAGCCAGTATCCCTCACTGTGAGAAATAAGAGAAAAGAAAACTAGTATGGCTGACTTTATTTTCCCACTTGTACAGAGCTGACATTTGACCCTTTATATGTAAAGGGAGATAATTATTTTTGTATCCCTACAATATCTTATTTTGTTGTCCACAAGTATCTAATATTGGTCAGGAGTATGAGGATCTTGGGTACAACACACTATAGCCAAACATCTGTTACCTGGGATAGAGATGGGAAAAAGAATTACTACAAAAATAAAACAACTAAACAAACCTAGTACATGCATATATATTGATTGCATGCTATCAACATAAATAATTGGACTTTTTTCTTTTTTTTTCTTCTTTGCTGCTAGTGCCAAAGCAGGTTATGTAGTTATGGAAGAATATTTTGCCCAAGTGCTCACTTACCCACTCTCTTTTTTTTTTTTTTTTTTTGTTAATTCTTGTGGCATAACAATGATGAGATGTTTTATCAAGATATTTGGTGATGAGACAAAGTACAGGGAGAGGTGGATTCATGACTTTCCCAAAAATGCAGCATGACCATAAACAGCTTCAACTAGAATTTGAACTCTTATTTTCATCCCAACAAAAGTCTTGAAAATTTGGTTTAGCTTAATGCTAGACCAAATTTTCTATAAAACCAAAGAATTTGAAAATAAATGTACAGTTTTAAAAAATAATCAGAAATGATATTCTATTTATTTACTAGCATAGTACCCATAAAAAATGACTACATTATTTCTATATGGATCAACATTTCTGCCTTCGATTGGAGTATCGCTGCACTTTATCTAGGGTCAAAGTGTAATATCTGTGCTCTTTGGAAAATACTACACACAGAAGATTTATACATTATACACATGCATATTATATATAAAAATATGATATGGCCATAGAAGCAACACTGCATGGTGACTGGCAGTTTCACACCTTGAGCCTTCATACTGTTGATTTCTATATCCATGCTGTTGATTATATCCCTAATCTGTTTTTTTATAAAAATAGTAAATTTTAAACACACACACACACACACACACACACACACACACACACAGTGGTTTTCTAAGCATAGCTTAGATGTGGCACAAGGCACTACTCAGTTGTAATTGATATAGTGAGACAAGCTTGTTAAGCATTACACCACATCAAAGTCCCCCCCACACACACACACATTGTGTTTTCTATATGCTAAAAAGTTCTCACATTGACCAAGAAACTCTTCAAAAATAAAATCTGATGTTTGATCATTGGTCAGATTTTGGGAAATTGATCAGGCCAAGAATGTTTCAGCTATCCCCTGCCCTAATTATTTTTTTTTTTAATTCTAGAATCATTGGAGTATTAACAATGACATGTAATTAATTTCCAGTTATCTAATCAGGACAATATATATAAATATATTTTTTTATATACTTGCAGTACAAAACCTTATAGTTAAACTTTTGCAATATTAACTATGCATTGAAATTAATTTGGGAATAATATTTTATAATATTTGCATAACATATGTTATATATAATAAGTTTATTTTTAAATTTACTAAAGAGTTTACTTAAAAAAATTCCAGTTGAAGCTTAATAATTAAGATTTGAAAATGATTTTGTTTGAAAATTCTATTTCACTGCTGCTAATTTTTTTCCAGAAATTCTGACTTTAGCATCATTTGTATTCAGCTTATATTGTATTCTCTTCTTCTATGTATTGTGTCCTTTCAGGGCATAGGCAACCATGGCTCTCCACTTCCTGATTATTTGTTTTTTTAGTATTTGCTATGATCTCTAAAAGATTCAATTAGTTTGATTCCAGTAAAGGACACAAATGACTTCAGTTTAAGAATTGTTTTCATTAGTAACTCAAGCCAGTATGCATTCTCTTTACCTATAAGAAACAGATAAAAAAACAAAGTAACAACAGTTTTATTCATCACTCATATTCATAAATATTGTTTAATTTTTTTTTCCCAGGCCTATCCTACATATTCTCATAATATACCCCTCTTTCTCCCCACTTTATGCCCTTACAACAATTTCATTCAGTAATCCTCTACCTTGGATGTATCGAGGTTTCTATTGAGTGAATAATAGTATAAAAAGGGTTTAAAATGATGTTCCTTTTGAAATCTTTAACCTTCATGTCCACAAAAAAAAAAATGAGGTGTTAAAAGAACGGTTTTTCCTTTGATATTGCAGTTATTTTAACTATTTCACTCCATAGCAATGTTTGTTTCATAAAAGTGATGATTAGAATTTTAATAAAACCTAAACATATGAAAGTGAATTTATACATTTTTTTTTTGTTTTTATGAATTGAAAATAAACATTGTTCAGATTGTTTATTTACACTTTTTATTGATATTGTTTATTGGAATGATTGGTAAAATATTGGTTAATTGCTAATCGATTCAAACTTTATAAAATGATAAATAAGGATTTCTTTTTAGTTGGTCACATGCTTATAAATTTATGAATAAAAAATTTTCATATTGCATTTCATTAATTCTAACTGTATTGGTTTTTAGAATGTTGTAAATATAAAATTATTCTTGTAAATAAACAATCTAATAAATAAATAGTGTTTAATATTTTTGTAAATTCTCAAGGAAAAAAATATTGTATAAATTCACTTTCATCATATGGTTAAGTATTATTACAATTCCAATGATTGCTTTTAAAAACAATAAACATTGCCAAGGACTGAAGGTATTTAAAATAATAGTGGTGTCAAGGGGAAAACTATACTTTTGACACTACATTTTTTTGCAGGCACAAAGGTTAAAGATTGCCATTACATTTTTTTAATATTTTTCTTGCTTTGCTTAAAAGTATAGTGCAAGCTTTTCTTATTTACAATCAACATTTTTCAGTTTCTGCTTTCAAATTGCATCTCTTTATTTCCATTTTTCTATAAAGTCACTTGTCTTGTTCAGAATGAATGTTTTCATTGAGTTGTTAACAAGTTTTCTGTTAAAGATTGCCATGTCCTTTCAGGCTGTGGGCAATCATGGTTCTCTACCATCCTTTTCTTTATTATTTGTGAATTGTCATGACTTTTTGAGAAATAGAGTGGAGTGGTTTCCCATTGCCTTCTCCAGTTTGGAATTCAAAATTCTCTTTCTCTTAGACCAGTTGCCACTTATGGCTTAAGCACTCAGACTACCATGCTATTTAATCCATAGCTGGAGGAAGATGAGATAGATTTATACATTTCACAAGGGCATTAGTAAAAAGTATATGTAACTGTGTAGGCTGGAATTTGAACTCAGCTTGTCGATTCCACATTCTATACTTACAATAATTTCACTACCCACCTATATCCCAGATGCTTTCTGCATTCTGTTGAGGATTCTTCTAGAATTACAATAAATGATTATTCAAATCCTCTCAAAATTTCTATCACACACGCACACATATATGCAGTCACTTTGATGTGGTGTAATGGTTAGCAAGCTTATCTTGCAAAATCAATTACAACTGAGGAGTGAGTTCAATTGTCACTGGATGCTCTATACTTTTGGTCTTGTGCCACATCTAAGATACACTTCTAAATCATTTTTTGAGCACTTCAACATGGTGCATTGGTTAGCAGAATTGTCTTGCTTAGATGACTTATGTGCAGTGAGTTCAATCCTCACTTGGTGCCCCATACTTTGGGACTTGTGCCACAACTAAGCTATGCTTAGTAAATCACTATATAAATATATATATATATATATATATATATATAACAACTGGCAAAAAGAAAAATGAATTGCTTGTTCATATACAATTTTTGAAAATAAGAAATTTTTCCTTTTTAAAAATGGATTTTTATACCTACCTCCCACAAAACTCTCACTGGTACTACCAATAGTTAATGACCAATTTAAAGGATGTACAAATGTCATAATGGTTTTCTGTATGAAAAATGGAATTGATAGGTCAAATTCAAATTCCAACTGAAGCTGTTGCATTCATTTTGCACTAATGTTATTGGGAAGGATATGAATCTACATTTCCTTTCAGCCATGGGTAAATAAAAGAGAATTTTTCTCTTTAGCCTTAGCAGGTAACCAGTCTAGGAGAAGGATGAATTCAAACCCTCTGCAAATACATGGGCCAGTGTGGCGAGATAAAGCCCATTAATCTCCATGTTTGACAACACTTGGAGAAATTTGAAACCTATAGTAGATCAAGAAAGCCTGATATAAATAAAGTTAAAATTTTTATCTAATTCCTAATGTTTTTTTTGTTGTTTTTTTTTCTTAATCATTCTACCTCAAGAACGTCAATTAAGCCTCTAAGATGCAAGGAGTTACTGAATGTAGAGACTATGAGAAAAATATACTGTTATGGAAAGAAGACAATAAAAGAATTAAGGCGGCAGAAGATAATGATTGCATTTAAATTTTTGAAGATCAAAATTAACTGGGAAGCAAGAAGCCAGAACAAGTGATAATTGCAATAAAAGAAACTGTTACATCTAGCCATTTCAAATGTAAAATGATGAGGCCTAGCTGCCAATCTAGTACTGTGCTTAGATTTATAAAGTCTAGGTATTGCAGAGGAAAATTAAAAATATTTTTTACTGCAGTCAGTTATTATTGTATCTCTAAAAGCAAAATAGAAAAATGTTTTTCTGATCAGTGATATTAGCTCATAAACAAGTGAGTATATCATCATGATGTAATGGTTAACAAGCTGAACTTTCAGACCATTACTAAGTAGTTCAAGCCTCACTGGATGCCCATCATATTGCCAACTCAACTTGGATATACCTTACTCAGTTTTATCACAAGAAGAAAAGAGGAAATATATAAATAAATAGAACTATAATTCATACAGTGTTACTAACAAATTCTGATATCATGAGGTACTACTGAAGTGTCTTGAATTAGATGTATTGATACTTCAGCCTGAAAACCAACTTGTCCTCAGGCTCATCTGAGAAAAAAATTGTTGGAGGTAATATTTGCATTACAAATTTATTTATATAAATGTTAAGAAAAAAAAAAACAGATCATAAATTTACTATTGGGAGGTACTTTTAAATTGGTACAGTATTATGGACTCTCTTCAACACATACACAAAAGTGTACATACTAATCTCAAAAAGTTTTAAATTTTAGAATACCCAGTCAAAAAGATTTTGATTTAAAGAAAACAAATTTTACAAGCAATTTTCTGCTTAGATGTCTAATAGCCTCTTTCTTTATGCAATAATAGATAGTTTAACTTTTTGTTTCTCTGTCCATAACAATACACTTACCTATTTATTAGCCACTTGATTTTGCTATTGAGTGAGTAATGAGAACATCCGTTATTATGGTAAAATGTGTAATGCTTGGCACCACTTGAAGTAAGTGTAATGTTATCATAGCAAAGGAATAATTTTGTAAATATTCTATTTTTTTCTAAACTCAAAACGCATCTCAATTATTCAAATATAACCATGAATCTTTTTTACAGACAAGAATTAATTTTTAAATAAAATATAATTTTCTTAGTTCATTTATAAAAATGATTTTAAAGTTTTTCTCCTTAATCTCATTTCATAAACAGTAATGTTGAATATTTTTATTTTCTTGTATGTTTTACACCATTTACACGAGCAATAATTCTCATGTCAAGAGTAAGATATCAACAAGAAAATGAAAATTTTCCACATTCAACTGGATTTCATCTATTCCATTTTAGATGCAATAATCAGCAAACATGGACCTTTGTGCCCACAAAAAATGGAGTGTTAAAAATTGACACTGCTATTATATTAACTACTGTCACTCTTTGACAATGTTTATTTTTAAAAAAAACAATGATTAGAATTTTAGAATTTTAATAAAACCTGAATATACGAATATATATGAAAGTGAATTTATACAGTTTCTTTGTTCTTGAGAATTATTATTATATTTTTTATTGGAATGGTTGGCAAAACATATGCTACTTGCCAGTTGATTTGAACTTTATAAAATGATAAATAATGATTTCCTTATAGTTGGTTCACATATTTTAATAAATTGTGAATAAAAATTGTTTTCATATTTATTTATTTATTTATAAATTAGTAACTGATAAATATTTCATTGCATTAGTTCTTAAAATGTTGTAAATATAAAATTATTCTTGTAAATAAACAGTGTTTAATACTTTTGTTGCAATTCTCAAAATTCTATTTGTTTTATTACAATTTTTAAAACAATAAACATTACCGAGGGTAAAGGTAGTTAAAATAAGTGGTTAAGAGAAAGACTGTCCTTTTGACACTTTTTTTTTTTTGAGGGCATGAATGTCTAAGTTTGCCCAATAATCAATGCATAAAATAATTAATAACTATTTATCAAGAATTCAGTGTAGTTATTATTTTAATACACATCAGATTCTAAGCTCTGTTATATTCTTTCTTTTTGTTTGTTTTCATCTATATATTTTTTAAGGAATTAATGTATTTTTGTTTTTAAACCAACATTATTTCTTATTACTATATATGTTATGTTTAGTGGATACACATGTTTCAACATATATAGGTTTCAAAAGAAATGTGTTTTCCTTCGTAAGTGTAATTAAATCTTACTTTGATGTGAAAGTCATTTGGGGCTGTGTATATAGTGTTTTCCCCTACATAAGGTAGACACAGGTTTGAACTCTGCTGAAAAACACCTTTTCTTTATTATAAACTTTTGAAAAACCCAGGCCAGTAGATTATATTATTAAAAAAAAAAAAAAAAACAGTTTACTCAAAAACATGTATCCAATAAATATAATGTATATAGTAATAACAAATATGTTAAAGTTTGTTGAGACATTTGTATTAAAAGTTTATTTGCTATATAATGTGCTTTGTTGTTGCTATTTTTCATGACTTATGCTAATTTTGCATTTGTCAAATTCTAGTTCGAAGTACTGCTGTTTGGTGAGTCAAATGCTTTTTGCTCAGACATTGTAGCATTTGAAACTTTTTTTTTTTTTAATTTAATTTTAGCAGTCTTTATGTACAAGTAAACCTTTACTGTAAACAGTGATTTTTTTTTTTTTTGTATAAATCACCTTGGTTTCTGTACTTGTGCTTTTTTTGTTGGTGGTTGGGCATGTGGTATTATGTTTAGCTTTCTCAATGTGCTCTGTAACCATATATAATTGCATGAAGGAAGTGTGAAGATCTCTAGCAGTCATTGTAAAGTTTTGCACTTTGCATTATGTGACGTTGTGTGCACAATTATATTGCACACAAATTGAACGGTTGGCACAGCACAGCATTGCACTTAATCAATCATCCTTATCTTTAACAACAGATTCTCTCTCTCGTGAGGCTTTGGGAAATCGTGAAAATTGGCGTAATCTTTCGGAATCAAAGGTAGGTTTAATATATATCTACACTACACCTTTTATTATTGATATAACATTTATTACAGTTATGATAGTCTCAGTTTAATTAAGAACTTTTTTTAGTTTCATTTTAAGAGCTAAAGTCTTCATTTTCTGATAGAATGAGGCACTGTATAGCCTCTAACAATTTTGTATCATGTGACTAATGGCGGCTCTATAATAATTTGTTAAATAAGTTTTCTACTCTCCTTTCTTCACTCAATTTGATGTTAACACATGCTTTTAAAGCAAAATGTTTTGGTTATAAATTCTCTTTAAAATCTAATCTGGACTTACCTGGAGTACCTTTGTCTGACTTTCCACTTGGATCTGAGTTTCTATTGAGTGATATGCATATAACGCTGTCAATTGTTTCTGCTATCATTTCTAAACTGGATCTTCAAAAAGCATGTGGACGATGGTATCCCTGCAATAATCCTTAAAAAATGTGCTCCTGAACTGTCTCCTGTTCTCTCTACAATAAATGCCTTGCTGCCTGTTAGAAATTCTCTTCTATAGTTTCAGTCTTTAAGAAATCATTTGATTATTTTTAATTATTGGCCTGTTAGCCTTCTACCTCCTTTTGGCAAAGTACTAGAGGCTCTAATTAACTGAATTGATGAAGCATCTCAAATCACAGGGTCTTCTTCCAGATAAGTAATATGGCTTTTGTTTCTGTAGGTCAGTAGGTGATGTGTTTACAATTATTGCTGAAAGAGTCTATCCAACTTTAGATAAAAATGGTGAAGCTTGGGCTGTTGCTTTGGATATTTTGAAGGCATTTGACAGAGTTTGACATGCTGATCTTCACAAGTTGACTGATTATGGTATTTCTGGATGAATTTTTGAACTGATTCAGCCTTTCTTATCAAATCACAAAATGAATGTTATCTTGAATGGCCACTCTTCTAGATCTTTTTTCATAAATACAGGTGTTCTCCAGGGATCTATCTTTGGACCTGTGTTGTTTCTAATTTTCATAAATGACTTTCCTGATATCATCAGTTCTCAACTCAATATCTATGCAATTAATATGAAAGTATTTATAGAAAAAGCACAGAGAAGCTATGTTATGGTAGTGGGAAGGGGACTGAAGCTAAGATGCCAGGTCAGGACCAATAACATTACACATTCTTCTTTATTTACTCCTCTCTTAATAGTAAGTCTGATCAGTTCAAAAAGGTCAAATTAGCAGCTGATCTAAAAAATGACCTACTTTTAATGCCTCAAAAACAAAACTGCTCTCTTAATCATCTGAGAGAATTCTTTTTACCTTCCATCGGCATGGCTAATGTTAACCTCTAAGAGAGTGACTCATTGTACCTTCTCAGACTTAAGTTTTCAGCTGATATGAATTGTAAAGAATATATTGAATCAATTGCTAAGTCTTCAGCTAAGAAAATTGGTTCACTATGTCATGCTAGACAATTTCCTGCTATATATTTAGAGATTCTTGATAAAAGAATTTGCAGTGTTACTGGTCCTGACCTGGCATCTCAGCTTCAGTCCCTTTCCCATCACCATAACATAGCTTCCCTGTGCCTTTTCTATAAATACTTTTATAGTAATTGTTCTCATGAACTTTCTTCTATGGTACCTAGACTTTATGAATTTAAGCATGATACTAGATTGACAGCAAGGTCTCATCCTTTTACAGTTGAAATGGCGAGATAAGTTCTTTTCTTACAGTTTATTCTATCGCACTTCTTGCTTGTGGAACTCTCTTCCAGTTTTTTGCTTCCCAGTCAACTTTGGTCTTCAAAAATTTTAATTCAGTATCAATCGTTACCTTCTGTCATTTTAATTCTTGTTCTTTTATTGTCTGCTCTCCTTAATAATAGTTTTTCTCATGTTGTCTCACAGTAGCCCTTTGCATCCTAGTGGCTTCATTGCCTTGCTTGAGGTGAAATGATGAAAAAAAAAAAAGAAGTTTTTTTTTCACTTTAAGAACTTTTTCTAATTTCAGTTTAATTAAGAACTTTTCAAGAATTAATTTTATTCATCTGATTTTATGAAATGTTTCTTTTTAGTAAAAGATTCCAACTGATTTTATTTGATTCTTCTAAAAATCAGTTTGGGATTAAGAGATTACTATAATTTCTTTATTCAACTTTTAAGTTACTTTAAACAATTTATTTTTCATATGTTAGTGATTGTTTTTTTTCTTATGCATTGTTACATGGGGTATGTCTCATGGTAATATTTTTTTCTTTTAATTGTTTGCAACTTACCTAAACTGGTTTTAACATATTTTAAAAATGACCTGAATTCTTCATTTAAATATGTGATCTTTTGCCTGCTTACTTAATATTTATTTATTTAACCCTTATAATATTTATTAATATGTCCATTAAAATGGATGGGAATGACTTTAAAAGATCATAACCTGTAAAGTTTTCATACAATTTTGTTTTAAATGTCATGTCTCTTCAGGACATTGGCAATCATGACTCTCCATAAATTCCTTTTCTTTATTATCCATGAATTGCAATGCATTCTTGGGAAAGATAGTAAAGTGGTTTCCTGTTGCATTCTCTACAGTTTGGAAATCAGAGCTTTCCTTCTCTTAGACTGGTTGCTCTTCAATGGTAGAGAGCCCAGTCTACCCTGCTATTAGCCCATAGCTAAGGTGAGAAGTATTCACTTCTTTTCCCAAGGCCATTAGTACAATAGTGAAAACAACATTCATGCAATACTTTTCTAAAATATTATACCCCAAATTTATTTTTTAACTTTGTTCCAAATATCTAAAATATTTTATCTTTAAGATTATTTTTCTTGATTTTCATTGTAGGATGATCTTTTGGAAGAATTGAAAGAGAAGACAACTGAAGCAAATCAGCAGAAAGCATTTTTGGACAATTTGCTGTCAGCCGTAGTGAAGCATGCTCCATGGTTGTTGGATGATGTAGATGCTGATTTGGAGAGCATGGCTACCATGTCACATGTTGAAGAATGGTGTTAGTCTTAGTCTCATTAAAAAACTTCTCACTATATTTTGTATCATTTCAACTGACGTCTTGCCACAAGGTAACACAAATGCATGTTCTGCTTGATGCGTTACATGTATTTAATTCTACCTGAGAAATATTTTAGTATTTTCACACACAGATTTGAAATATTCAATTTCTTTTTCATCCAGTTTAGATATTTTATTGTATGGACAAACATGTCACAAAACTGATAAGACTTTTGTCTTATGTAAAGAGGCATCATTATTACCTGACCATTATCTTCATCTTTTGATACTTTTTTTTTCAACAAGATTTCAATTAATCTGTTTTTCTTATGGATTATAATCTCTTCTTTTACCATGTACAAAAGTAATCTATTTTCAATATATAATACTTAAGTAAAGAGATTAAGAATTACTTACAGATCTGATATGGATTACATTTTAAAAAAACCTGTAAGAAGATAAACAGATTCTTTTCAGTCAGTGAATGCATATGAAGGAGATACAGAAAACTGCTATGTCACAAGAAATATTAAATTTAAAAATCCCCTCCCCACTCTTGATCTTCTGACGGTTACATATTCAGGTTATCTTTGCAGGAGACAGGTTTGTCCAGCACAAAAATTTGTTGTTGGTTCTGATTTACTTTATATTGTCATGGTGCCTTTTTGCTGACTCATTGACTTTTGTTGTAGGAAATTCAGCATCTTGTCAATTCCCTTTTCTATTCTCTTGCCTGCTTCATGTTTACCATGATCAACTTGTTCCAGGCTGCACAGACCAGATTATAAACAGAACTTTCCCAACAATAAAACTTGACATTGGGGGAAAATTAGCATGATGAAAACTAATATCACTGGCCAAAAACATTGTTGAAAAAAATTAGGGCAATAAAATCAATTGAAAAGAAAACCTACTGAATATCAACTCTAATCTGAAAAAAAACTGTCAGTATTTGAATATCAAAGTTGAGGATAATGGTCCATAATATGTCTCTATCTGCCTAGTGCTTTGTGGCACATAAGGCCTTGTATGATCCAAAACAAATCATGACTGTTTGTGTTTAACATAAGTTCACCTTGATAATCACTTTGACAATCAAATTTTATTTGATGTATGATTGAAGAGTGACATGAAAACCTTGCAGGTATTAATGATCTCTTGGTTGTCAAAGGTTGTGGTTGTATTTATAATCTGCCAGGCAATTTCATGTTTTAAAAATTGAATGGCCTTTTCACTCTTGAGCATCTTTCAAAGCTCCACTGCCCAAATCAGTTTGTTTATATGTGTATTTATAAATCAAATATCTACAAGATATTATATACTTTATACCTTATAGTTAGATAGTTATTAAATAGAATGAGGGGAAGGCTAGGCTGGTTCCTTGTCTTGTTTTCAATAACCTGATGAAAATCTCATACATTTAAGTATAATGAAATAAAAGCTATAGTATTTAAAAGAACCCCACATCATGAAGGAAATATGTAAGTGCATATTTGTTGGTTTCTTGTATGTATGACAACCAACATATATAGTTGAAGCTTAGCTTGGCACTTGCACTTAAACATCAATAAAAAAGCTGCTTAGACCCACACTTGCAGTTAGACCTTGATAAAATTGCTGCTTAGCCCAACACTTGCAGCTAGATCTCAATAGAGAGCTGCTTAGCCTGACACTTGCAGTTAGACTCTCAATAGAAATCTGCTTAGTTGGAAACAGATTTTGATAAAGAGCTGTTTAGTCCAACTTGGTTAGACTTCAATAGAGAGCTGCTTAGTCCAACACTTGCAATTAGACCTTGATAGAGCTGCTTAGCCAGACACTTGCAGTTAGACCTCGATAGTGAGCTGCTTAGTTCAACACTTGTAGTTTAGTTCAACACTTGTAGTTAAACCTCGAGAGAGAGCTGCTTAGTCCAACACTTGCAGTCATACTTCAAGAGAAAGCTGCTTAGCCAAACACTTACAGTTAGAGCTTGATAAACAGTTGCTGCAAAATTTACTGGGAAGTTATTTTTGTTCATGCTTGTTTTTTTTTTTTTTTTTTTTGAGAGAAGAAACATACATGAAACCCCTTAAAGCAATACAACTCTTCATACATGTGGAGATGAGACAAAGAATGCATGAACATTGTGGTTCATGATGAAGCATCTGCTTTTTGTCTTTGTTATTCCTACCAAAAGTGGATTTCCTTTGGAACTTGTTTCGTTGTTAGAAAATGTTCTTGATCGCAATTTGTGGACTTGATTTGAATTGTTTCTCTTGACTGGATCTCTTTTGCTGTCAATTGGGAACACAATGATCAACTTCATTACAGAATGACAGTCAACATTTATAAATTAATCTTGAAGCTTTCATTAATGTATATAAAGAAAAGTTTTTGATTTTTATCAAGTTTGCTGGTCAAACTTATTTACATTCTCTCTGATGACTGTTTTTGATGGTATTCAGAAAGATTTCTTCTAATCTGTTTTCTTGGGGTTATTTGCATGGCTGAGTTGTTCATAATGATTATTAAACAATCTGATATTCAGAGGATTCTTTATACCCTAATTTCTATGTTTACTTTTACTATTATAGATTATTTACAACCTGATCTGGTTATGTTCATAAAATTTGATTAGTTTATCTTCAGATTTATCAACAAAACTCTTTTATGTTTAATACTTATTTTTCTCATTCTGTACTGTGTGTACTTTTTAAAATCCAAGTGGATTTTAAAAAGTACACACAATAAAATATATTAGAATATCTACAATAAAATACCCAAGAATTCTATGTCTCTTTAAAAAGTATTTAGCAGATGCAGTTTATATAACTGATTTTAAATTCACATGCTGTGCTCATAATGGAGCTATTATCTTAACCCTTTAAAACAGATACCAGTGGATGGTATGCTATTAAGCAGATACCAGTGGATGGTATGCTGTTAAGCGTGTACCAGTGGATGGTATGCTATTTTATTATACAGCATAAACCCAATATTTCAAGCTCAGAGAAATCAGATTCAAAATGGTAAAAGGATTAATATATCAACCATTTACAGTCTTTCTTTTACTGGAATGATGGGATAGCTTTAAACAAAGATATTTGTATCCTTGAGTGACATTTCTATGTATAATTTTTGAGCTTGGTTATTTTTTAAAATTTTACAGTGGATGAAACCAACAAAGACACTCCAAATTTCTTTACGACATGAGAAATGTTGTGGGTATATCTGGGGGCCAATGAGGCTAAGTGTTAAAGAAAGTTGAGTATTTTAACATAACTTTTTTTTATACTCTTAACTCTCAGTCTTGAACCCACAAAGAAAAACCACTTAATTTTTACTGGTTAATGGGTGTCATCAAAAACTTGATTTTAATTGGCCTTAATTCTCATTAAGACCTAGTTTTTCCTTTCACTTTCCTCCTCTTTCATGAATTTAACTGAAATATAAAGACAAATAGATTGTTTGCTGTCATTTTCCTTCTATTGCAGCAACTACAATTAACGACAGGCTGACCAAAGTTTTTAAATGATCAATGCCTCACTGACGTCATATCCTGTTATTTCCAAATTATTATGTTAGGAAAAAAGAAATGTCTATTTATTGATTGTTGCAATTTTGCTGCAATGTTTTTGTTATATTATGATCTACTATCATTATAATTGTTATCAAACATGAAAGGGAGACCTGCAGGTCCCTTCTCTTGTTTTTCCTTCTTGTTACTATATTCATTCTATTTTTAAAAATTCTGATCATTTATACAAAATAAAAATTAAAAAAAATGTTTTTAGAATATCTTCATCCTGATTGTTTTCTTCACCATATTTTGGCTGCTCTATTTTTCGGCCTCCTTCAGGTGAAATTATTCTGGTGCAGTTAGGATTCTGTAAACAGAACTATCTGGTTGACACTATTTTGTTTTGATGACATCTTATTACTTTGCAGAGTCTTGATATAGCAATAGAAAAACCTTTTTAATTCCAATTTCTTCCTCCTTTCTTTTTTTTTTTCCTTGTTTTATTCCAGTTCTGTTAGGGTCATAAGAGAGATGATTGTGTGTGTGTGTGTGTGTGTGTGTAAGTAAGCTTTGTTTTAATGATGTTATTACATTGTGGGAAGTTGTAGATACCTTCTTTAGCTAGGGGATTATGTCCCCTTGCTTTTTCTTTAATTTTAATTTGTTTCCCCATAAGTTTTTTATTGTTTACTTGTTCCAATATGGCATTAATTTTATCTAGCTTACTAGATTTTTGCATAGGTACAAGATACTAAGGTACAAGGAAAAATCTCTAAAAGTAACAGGAAAGAAAAATGCTCTGAAAACTTCTTTAGTAAGATTTACAGAAATAAATCATAAACCAAACTGTATGCAGAACTGATCAGCAGATGCTGTAATGGAAAAGATTTCACTGGAAGACCAGAAAACTGACTGTTCAAATCAAAATGAAAAAAACAACACAGAAAATGAAGTTAATCAAAAAATAAAAGTAAAAAAAAAGTACATTCAATATTAACAATTCCTTGAAAAAAATTCAGATGTCTAGTAATGTGTAACTAGAACTGCAGACATCATTTTTATTAAAAATGATGTTTCTCTACTAAAAGCAACCAAGTCAGAGAAATATTTAATAATCAACATTTCTGGTTGTATTCTGATTAGGGAGGATTTTGTTTATGTTGGCAATGTATGTTGAGTGAGTGACCTGTAGAATATGTTTGACATCTTCTACCCCTTTCATGTTGTGATACTTTCATTACTGTCTGTCTTCTGTGATAAAGTGTCATGTGATATTTATTCACCTTACCTGTTATATTATTTCAATAGAAAATTGATTGTTTTTTTTGTTTGTTTGTTCATAACTCATTTTCCCCATTTTTCTGAATTCTCTTAATCTATGTACAACTACATTTTCAACAATACCTTAACATAAATATTGATTAGTTTTTAATTATTAGTCTTGAAATTAGCTGAAATTTTATAATCAAAATTTTCTTAATAGTGAAAATAATTAATTGGATTT